TTAGAAAGTGAAACCACTGGTAAGGGGGGGATTACCATACATAAAGATTCATAGTCCTGACACAGGTAGCATTTTTAGGAGCTGAGTGGCTTGGGGCACCCTGAGTTCAAGTTATCGTGCCTCACATATCCCACACATAGAAACAGCAATAGGGGCCAGGTGCGATGGCTCAGGCCTGTAAACCCAGGACTCTGAGAGGCTGAGGTGGGTGGATTGCTTGAGTTCAGGAGTTCAAGAGCAGCCTGAGCAAGAGCAAGACTCCATTTCTACTAAATAGAAAAAAATTAGCTGGGCATTGTGGCAGGAGTCTATAGTCCCAGCTACTCAGGAGGCTGAGGCAAGAGGATCACTTAAGCCCAAGAGTTTGAGGTTACTGTGAGCTCTGATGATGCTATGGCAATCTAGCCTGGGGCAACAGAGTGAGACAAAAAAACAAAACAAAACACAGCAACAATGTTGGGGAAGGTCTTTTTAGATTTTGGAGGCAGAATATATACACACATAATATACACACATTTCTCAAACCCTTTGTTGGGTCCCTGGGAGGCTGACAATTGTGAATAGTAACAACAGCAAGAGAGGGCTGTTGTGATACTGTGAAATAAGTATTTGGTCTTCATCTGGCATATAATGCCTAAAATGCTTGGAATCTCCAAAGTGATGTCTTTTTGTACACTAATGAGTTGACTGATGGCAGCTCCTTAGGTAGCTTCAGGATGGGGGCTGGTCATCAGAAAGACCAAAGCAGGACTAGAGAGCTGAGACTTTCAGCCCCACCCCACAACCTCTAGGGAAGGGAGAGGGGCTGAAGGTTAAGTTGATCGCTGATGGCCGATGGTTTAATCAATCAGGCTTATGTAATGAAGCCTCTATATATAAAAATCCAAAAGAACAGAGCTTAGACAGTTTCTGATAGCTGAACGCATGGGTGTTCCCAGCGTGTGGGGCCCAGGGAGGGCAGGGAAGCTCTGGCTCCTACCTCCATACCTCACCCCACGCATTTCTTCATCTGTATCTTGTCTAATATCTTTTGTAACAAACCAGTAAATACAAGTGTTTCCCCAAGTTCTGTGAGCTCCTGTAGCTAATTAATCAAAACCAAAAAAGGGGTCATGAAACCCTAACTTGAAGACGGTCAGAAGTTCTCTACGGAGGCCTGGGCTTGTGACTAACATGGGTAGCAACCTTGGGGACTAAGTCCTCAACCTTTGGGGGCCACTAGGGGACCAAACAGGGCCTGTTGTGTTAAGAACAAGATGTTGAGTCACCTTGTAGGTATAACAGAGCCAAAAAGTGGAAGATGTGTAGTCCACACACATGCCATAAAAGCCTTACCTCTAACAGCACTTAAAATCAATGATCCCTCCTCTCAAAACCACAAAGACCAGGACATGACCAAAACCTAAGTGCCAGGACTCTTTGAAAAGTGAGGGGTCTGGGGCGGTGCCTGCGGCTCAAGGTGTGGGACACTGGCCCCATATAACAGAGGTAGCGGGTTCAAACCTGGCCCTGTCCAAAAACTGCAAAAAAAAAAGAAGAAAAAGAAAAGTGAGAGGTCCATTGGCTCAAACAGTCTAGGGCTAAAATCTACCTCAACATAACTTACAATGAATGGTCAAATTTAAAGCCTTCCAATCAGACCCTGCCCAGCCAACATTCCTGCATGCTTTCTCTTGCCCTCTGAGTCTATAAACTTGACCCAACCCTCAAATCAGGGAGATAGATTCAAGCCTGCCTTGTTTCCTTTCAGGCCCGTCTTATAATAAAGCCTTTCTTTTCTCAAAAGCTGGTGCCATAGTATTGGCTTCTGTGGGCACTGGGCAGTGAGCCCATTTGCTTGATAACACTATCTCCAGGTAGATAGCATCAGAACTGAATCGAAGGACACCCAGCTGGTGTCTGCTGCTTCGTGCAGGCAGAAAAACCTCTGCATATTTGGCCACAGAAATTTTCTGTGCTGATTGTTGTTAAGTGAGAGAATAGAAAAAGCACGTTGAGTGGTTTATTTTTCCTCTCCACTGTTCAGCCGGTTCAGGCCACAAAGCAAGCTATCCTGCCACTTGGATTATGTGAGCCTGCTGATACAATGCTGCTGGAATGTATCTGTATGAAGATTGATAAGGATTCTGTAGTGCAGTGGTTCTCAACCTGTGGGTCGCGATCCCTTTTTAACAATGAAAATACATTGTGGCATTAGGAAGGTTGAGAACCACTGCTGTAGTGAGTCTCTGAAAGTCCAAATAGTGCAGTGAGTGGGCGGCACCTGTGGCTCAGTGTGTAGGGCGCTAGCCCCACATACAGATGGTGGCAGGTTCGAACCTGGCCTCAGCCAAACTGCAACAACAACAAAAATAATTTTCTTTTTTTGAGACAGAGCCTCAAGCTGTCCCCCTGGGTAGAGTGC